AAAAACCGTGCAGCCCTAAAAGGAGGGGGGCCCCTCCCCAAGGGCGGCAGCGGGCTCCTTATTTTTGGCATGGGGATTTTTTCAGGGAGCCCTGGAAACCTTCATGCTCAAATCCTACTTGGATTTCAGCATGAAGGTTTTTCAGGCAGTCCCCAAAGCCCCGTATGAAGCTCTTATAAGCTGCCTGTAACAGCTTCACACGGGGGTTTGGGGGCTGCCTGAAAAACCTTCATGCTGAAATCCAAGTAGGATTTGAGCATGAAGGTTTCCAGGGCTCCCTGAAAATATCCCCATGCCAAAATCAGGCAGCCTGCTGCTGCCTGTGGAGAGGACTCCCTCTCATCTCAGGGCTGCCTGATTTTGGCACGGTGATATGTTCAGGCAGCCCTGAAAATCTTTGTGCTGAAATCCTGCTTGGATTTTGGTATGGGGAGTCCTCCGTGTGCTAAACTCCCAATGCCAAAATCCTGCTTGAATTTCAGCACAAAGGTTTTTCAGGCAGCCCTCAGAGACAAGAGGGAGTCTTCTGAACAGGCGGCAGCAGCGTGCGACCTTCCCTGCCAGCTACGTTCTTGGCAGAAAACACGGAAGATTGCAAATGGCGATCACGATTGTGGGGCTCTTGGCAACCAGTCATATGGGCAAACCAATTGCCGAGGGCCCAGATCACTAATTTCAGGTTAGGTCGTAAGTCCATTCAGTGCCAGTGTAACTTTGAATGGTCGCTGAATGAATGGTTGGATAGCAAGGACTACCTGTAAGCTACAATTGAATGGATTTATGAGATAATGTTCAGCAGTTTGGAGTAGTGGTTAAAGCACCAAGCTAGAAACCAGAAACCATGAGTTCTAGTCCTGCCTTAGGCACAAAGCCAACTGGGTGACCTTGTGCCAGTCACTCTCTCTCAGCTCTAGGAAGGAGGCAATGGCAAACCACTTCAAAATTTTGCCAAGAAAACTCCAGAGACTAATCCAGGCAGTTGCCAGGAGTCAACACTGACTCAAAGGCACCCCCCCTCCCAAAATCAACTACAAGAACCTCAATGTACAAACCACAGTGGTTGGTCTTACCTAGTTATTATAATAATATACATTTTTATATTGAGAGAGACCACTTCATCAAATGTGTACGATGGAAAAAATAAGTACGCCACAGTTAGTTTTAAGAGCTGCACAGTCCTATCTGTAGTCACTCCAAAGCGCCATCCACCTCAACAAGATTTCTTCCCAGATTACTAGATACAGGATAGCAGTCTTATCTTACGTCTTTAAGGTAAGGCAACAAGCTGTTGCTTTCGCTGCACCAGAAACTTTCCTTGGATTTACACTGATCAGACTCCCTATGAAATCGGCCACTAACAGGGAATGCGTTACATGTGAGAGGACCCTTCTTAAGAAAAGATCCTAACCTGCCCCCTCCGCTCCAGCCACTTCCAAACACCCGAAGTTCACGGAGTGAGACGTTCCGAAATACTGGGCGGAGCCGGAGAAGTAAGTAAAAGGCTATTGGGTGGAGCTACGGAAAAAAACTTTGGGAATAGGCGGAGCCAGGTCACTGCGACTGCGGGCGCGTGAGCGTGACGCAGCTGGTTTGAGAGTACCATAGAGACTCAGAACTTTTACGTAGAACCAGGAAGTGAGTTGCGGACAACGGTTAGGCACTATCTGGTGCAGCATCGAGCCGAGGTGGAAAGTAAGTAGTGGGGGGTGGGAACGAGAAGTGAACGAGAAAGGAACGAAGAAGATGGCGTCGTTCATCACAGTGCAACTAAAAAAAACCTCGGAGGTAGACTTGGCAAAGCCCCTCTGCAAGTTCATCCAGCAGACCTACCCGGGCGGAGAGTCTCAGGCCGAACATTGCCGAGCCGCCGAGGAGCTCAACAAGCTGCGCAAGAGCGCGCTCGGGCGCTCGCTCGACAAGCACGAGAGCTCGCTCGAGACCCTTCGGAGGTGAGTCGCGGGGATGGCGGGGGAGGGGGAGGGCGAG